ACATGCTCTGATTGTTGTGAGGACAGAAAAATGACATTCATAGTTTGTTGGGAGGAGGTTCTGCATCTGTTGTTTTAACACTCACGCCGGTGCATTTCTCTGTAGAGGATGGTCAGTGCCTGCAGGGAGTTGTCGTCTGTGGGTTCGAGAACGGCCACTTCCTGCGCCAGTGTGAAGGCTTCATCCTGTTTTGCTGTGCGCTGCAGACCGATCGCCTTCAAGACCTGCCAAACAAGAGCAGAGCATACGATAAATGTGTCTGGAGCCAATTTACCAATCTAGCAGGTCAAATTCATGTTTTTTTTTTCTTTCTTAAAGTGCCCCTATTATGCCATTTGTAAGGTTCCTAATATTGTTTTGGGAGTCTCCTACAATAGGTTTACATGCATGCAAGGTCAAAAAATGCTTTAGTTTTCTCAACATACACATTTAGTATCACCTCGTTTTTGAAAATAAAGAAATTAAGACAGCCATAAGTATTGTATTTTACAGATGTACTGTAAAATTACTATTACAATATTATTTTTCTTAAATACTTGATTTTTTATTTCACAGTGGCATTTATATTTTCTATATTTTACTTCACTTTTTGATATTAATATAAATACTTGATTTAATTAAACAATTAAATATTTTTTTAATTTTTATAATAAATTTGAGATTCATAATAGCAATAACAAAAATAATATTGCTATAATATTTTACTATTTTGTAGTCATACTGATATATAAACATTAAAATCATATTATTGATATAAAAACACTGTGGGCAAACTCTGCAGATCTACAAAGAAGAACAGCAAACCTGGATAAAATAAAATAATGAAATTAAAATAAAGCCTTTTTTAGAAAAAAAAAATCCAAATTACATTTCCCCCCAAAGTTCAGCCCTAGTGTTTGCTATTAATATGACCAGCTGGTCATGGGATTCTGGAAAAATAAAAATTATATATATATATAAACAAACACCTTTGCACAGTGAAGATCTTTGTGCTTCTTCAGCAGTTTGTCAGCCTGCTGGATTGCCATCTTGTTATTGCCATTGTCCAGGTAATCTAGAAGAGAAAAACATGTTCAATACAACAAAACAGCACTCATGTGGAAGTTAATAACATTTTTGACGATTACCAAAGAGAACAACCATGTGTTTCCATCATTAAAGTGTGAATTAAGACTGATAATCCAGTCACTGCCACTAATCAGCAAGTCAAACTTCACTAGACCAATACCTGCTAATTATAATTTAAAGTATGCATGCAGTTACAAACCTTTTTTTGAATTCACATTTTGGAATCTTTTTTTGAGTGTGATGTAAATGATGACAGAAACTAACTGAACTACGCCTTTAATCAGCTTCTTTACCTCAGAGATGGTCATGAGAAATTTAATGGCACACAAGAAACCTAAAGTTACATTATAAGTGGAGAAAATGCTACAAAAAGAGAAATATGACCCCTTCAAATGAGGTATTATGAGTAGTGGTCGACCGATATATCGGCCGATATTTGGCATTTTTCAAATATCGGAATCGGCCGATAAGTTTTTCTGCTTGGCCGATGTGTTCGAGGTGGGACTTTTATTTTGACACAGTGCTCACATTCTCCCTCTTGTTTACTGTCGTTTTTAACAGTTCTGTCTAATACGGATAGAAGTCGGTCTAATAATCCGATAGAACGGTTAAACAAAGGAATTAATGTATACAGAAAATATTATAACGATTGCTTTTATATTATTAGTAATAGAAAGGCAAACACTGTAATACTTTATTGTTTGCCGTCAGCATTAAGCAAATACGCATTTATATCATTTAAACAAATCTTTGAATGACTAATAAACATTTAATTTCTCAAACCTTGCAAACTTAGTCGAATCCAGCTGTGAGATATTGTGAAGTGTGCATTTTTATCCAGTGTTCTCTGTGTGACGGTCGGTCCGTGTGAATTGAATGCTTTAAACATTAAACTCGTGATTTCAAATTATGCTGCGCTTTATGCATTTGCCCACTGTCATATTCATGTCATTTTCACTGTGTGCTGTGTGTAAAATGAGTGTTACCTTGGCTTTATTTGAAAAATATGATTCCCAATGCACACAAACTTCCCAGAATACCGAGTGCCCTGTTGGTTACAGTGTTTACTTCCTTTTTAATTATATTTTTATTAAATATTTATTTATTTGTGAAAAATACTTTGTCATCTAAAGTATAAGTATGTTTATTTTTTACACATTTATTTTTTAATCCATTGTCAAATGATTTCAAATTTCTTAAATATTAATAATAAATAAATAAATAAATATATTATATATATATATATCGGCTTTATATCGGCCCCCCTGCTTTCCAAGATATCGGCATCGGCTGTCAAAAAACCAATATCGGTCGACCACTAATTATGAGTAACTTGTACATCCAGTCATGCTAAGCCACAAGTGAGGACTGCACTGCATCACTCACACAGACCCCTGACTGTGAGAACGTTCTCTCACCGGCTGCTCGATGTGATTCGGAGTGCAAGACCCCCCCCCCCCTTTCCCATGAGTCTCTGCTAAAAGAACACAGGACCATGTCTGACGACAGCTGGACGCCATAATTTACCAGGTCAGATTGTAGATTTGGACTTTCTACATGAGAACACTTCCATGTTTCTGTACATTAATGCATCCTTCCTTATAACCGTTACATTTCTAATCAATCACCCACACAAATACAGATCAATTTCACACAACAGAATGGCAAGACTGCACAAAGCACTAGAATAAAGGTCATATTTGATCTATTAATCATTATAAACCTCCCGTGCACAGAGCAGCATCTCTAGTGTAGTAGAACAATAGCGAGTCATTGATTGAATGAAAAACATAAGATTATAAAATATGCTGTTTGAATCAATGCAATTTCGTGCACAAATCTGTACAGTCTGAACTCAAGAACCTGCAATTATATTTAAAAATCAATTGATAAAATTGCAATAATAAATTCTAGTCCTGGTTGCTGGTAAAAAGCAGCACTCTATGTGTGATTAAAACATTATACAATTTATTGAATAATTAAATTGAACAGAATAGCATAAAAATGTATTAAAATAAATTGTATTAAATATTTTAGCAGGAAAATTAACCGTTTTATAAAGTCAATAAGGCAGATCATGCAATAAAATTATGTATCTTTAATTAGAAAGATGCATGGGGATACTACTCTTTGTATTAATATAAATAAACAAATATAGATTCAAATATAAATTAATTCATCTATATGTATTCTTATCTACCTTTGATTTATCTAGCCAGTGCAAGTGAATGTTAGACAGACTAGGTTTTATGTGTGCAACTTGTTTAGTCTTGACCAAGTTCAACAGTGGTGTCTTTCACAAAACAGCAAGGAACAAAATGAAAAAAAGAAACAAAAAAAATACAATATTAAATAAACTTAAATCAAAGCTATGCTATCCACAAGGCTATGCATTAAGACCAATTAAGTTTAAGAGTTCAAGCATTTAAAGCCACTTATAGGGCATTTCTGCACAGCTTTGGAGAAAATTTCACAAATTAAAACACAATAGTTCATAATGACATAAACAAAGAGGCTTACAAATAATCTCTGGAAGACAAAAAAGCAGGTCTAACTTCAGAACATTTAGCCACAAAGCTCAGCTTTATGCATCTATAATGTAACTACTCATGCTATTACAGCATTAATAAATCATTAAGCATGTAAAGCACCTGTCTGAGACTCTATACACATAACAACCCATAGAAAATACGAAAAATTAAAGCACAAATGGCTCATATAGAGTCTGTTAATCTCTTTGACATCTCACACATGTAATGAACCGGTTGAGCAAATGACATTGACACTGATCTCTGGATATTTAAACAGTATTTCAGTGTTTAGATGGGCTATAAACAGGCTTTACTCTACCGATTGAAACGTCAGAGTGTGACCGCGTAAGGACGCACTGTCATCAGGCGCCGCAGCCGAACCGACACCGCGGCTTCAGCTCCACAGGCCTCACCGGCTCTCCACAGCTCCTGCAGCCCTTTAATAAACTCAATAACGCACAGGCCGGTCGTACAGCACTAGTCAGACCCGATAAGTCTGTGTAAGCTCAGGACTGCGATGTGAATCTTACCGTAAATGGGTCGCAGTCTTCTGTCGTTGGGGTCTTGCACATGGCCCCTCGCCGCCATGATGGAGCTGAGCAGGATTAATCAGTGCGCATGCGCAGAGCGGGCACACCGGAAAGACTTTAAACAGGAGCCTGGAGTCATGTGTGTCCTTCAGTGTCACTGTAAAAGACACAGCCCTGCTTTTTCTTGCATACAAAAAAGAAGTGCAGTGGTACGATCATGTTTTTGTTAAAAAAAAAGTACTATGGTATTGTTTAATCAGGGGTATGCAAACTGGGGCCGAAAGGGAGTGCTAGGGGGTCTGTGGAAATGTTTATTGAAAAACAGTGTTAAAAAAAAAAGTAAAATAGATAAATAAATATATTAACTAAAATAAAATAAACAAATATTTTATTTAAAAATAAAAGCAATTAGATTAACATAAAACAAAAAAATGTATTCTATTTAAAATTAAAATACATTTATTTAAAAAATACAATTAGGTTACAATAAAATATATAAAACTTGAGTAAAATAATAAATAAATAAAATGAGATGAAATAAAATAAGAAAATAAAGAATCTGCCAGTACAGTGCTATTAGTAGAAAATGTATACGATGTAATAAAGAATGTATTAAATTTCCAAATAATATTTAGACAGATTTATAATGAATTTTTTCACAGGAAAATGGGGTCTTTATGCAATAACCATTTTTTTCTTTTTGCATGTGGGCCAACACACATTCAGAATTTTTTTTTGGTGGTTACCAAACATGATCTTTTCCATGTATTTTATATAGGGACTATTTTTTAACAGGAAATATATAGACAATATATTTATAGATATAGATCATATATTTCAAAGAGAAACCTTAAAAACCACTTACATTTCCCATAGAAATCTTTATTTTATTATATTTGGACTGATGTGTATGGTTGATAGTTACTACAAAAGCACATTTGTGATGAATGCATCCTCCTTGTACAGTACACGGACAAACAGAATGAAAATGACACTGCTGATACAGCATAATTGCATATTTAAGTGAAATGAGAGTCAATTTAGGTGCACGCAGTCTCTGAAATGACAGCTCATTCTCCGTCTCCTTCAGAACTGTCCACTTCTGCTCGTTTGGGACGTGAGCTGCCCGCTGAACTCAAATGCTTGTCAAAGTCTTCTTCACTGATCTTTCCTTTCTTGAGTTTCTTCAGCAGACGCGTGTCATTTAAAAGCTCGTTTAAGTCTTCATCATCAACATCTGATTCCTGTAACCACACAAATATAGCATTGAGACTTTATAGAGAAGCCTATTCACGTCATTTAGAGCTGTTAATAGGGTTTTCTATGGTTACACGTGTACTTTTTAGTAAAAATATGCAAACAGGGATTTTTGGATTTTAAAGGAATAGTACACCCAAAAAAATTCAGAAAATGTACTCACCCACAGGCCGTCCAAGATATAGATTAATTTGCTTCTTCATCAGATTTGGAGAAATGTAGCATTACATCACTTGCTCACCAGTGGATCCTCTGCAGTGAATGGGTGCCGTCAGAATGAGAGTCCAAACAGCTGATAAAAACCACACCACTCCAGTCCATCAGCTAACATCTTGTGAAGCCAAAAGCTGCGTGTTTGTAAGAAACAAATCCATCGAGGCTTTTTTTTTTTTTTTTACTTCAAACCATTGCTTCTGGTCCATAATCCATAATATTGTTTTTAACAGTAAAAAAAGTAATCTTGTCTGGATCAGGAGAGAAATATGCACAGATCAAGCGTTGTTAACGAGTAAAAACTGTCCAAAACAAATATGTCCGTGGATTTTGATGCGAGAGGACAACAGGGGATGGACTTTTTCATAAGAGGAAATGTTTATTGTGGATTATGGACTAATATTTTGGCCGGAAATAATGGTTTAAAGTTAATTTGTTTCTTATAAACACACAGCTTTTGGCTTCACAAGACATTAACTGATGGACTGGAGTGGTGTGGATTACTTGTGGATTATTGTGATGTTTTTATCAGCTCTCATTCTGACGGCACCCATTCACTGCAGAGCATCCACTGGTGAGCAAGTGATGCAACGCTACATTTCTCCAAATCTGATGAAGAAACAAACTCATCCTAATCTTGGATGGTTTGACGGTGAGTACATTTTAAGTATATTTAAATTTTTGGGTGAACTATTTCTTTAACACAAAAAAAGACTAACATACCTCATCCAGTTTTCGTTTGGCAGCTTTCTTTTTCTTTTTATCCTTCTTGATCTTCTGCTTGGACCAGGCTTTGTTCTTAATGAAGTTCTTCTTCAATGGCGTCTCTTTTTCTTTCTGCTCCGCCAGCCATTTTTGTCTCTGTTTTTCCCTGTTTTTATCTTTAAACCGGATGGAGTCTGTGTCGATGGCCTCCTGTTTGAAGTCCGGGAATGTCTTTCCTCTCAGTTCAGGCATTTTGGGCAAACGGAGGAGACCAAAGCCACGGGCTAGAGCAGCAAAATCCAAGTCTGTACAAGGTATGAATCATTTTAATCTGGTGAATTATCTTTATGCATCTTACGAAAGGTTTAAAGTGAAGTCGCTCACCTTTAATGCGAAATATCAGACTACACTCGTGTTTGGCGTACGCCTGCACACACGACACAAAGGCTTTCATGCCCTTCTCAAACATCGCTCTGTCACCTAAAGCCATCGCCTTCAGTTTAGGCAGAACATCAACCACATCTTTCACTGGTGGATATGGCTGAAGAGGACACTGTGAGGAAAACAAGCACAAACACTATTTTACCACCTTAAACTCAAATACATAGAGTTTACAAAAAAATAGAGAATGCAACATTTTTTTCAATCAAGACGGGCGACACGAATGGCAGCCATGGCGCTGAGCTCCACAATTCTTTTGCTGTTTTTGTTTGTTAGTTCTGTGTTTAGTCATTCTTCTTCTATAGGTTTTACCAGAGACAGACTCCATAGCATTAAGCCACACATCGCAGAGAATATTTTTCTTTCTCTTCACCCGCATCAACAAGGACTTTTTTTTAAACTCTGCTGCACTGTGCTTCACTGAAACCTGGCTGAGTGAAGTCATTCCTAAAAACGCACTTCATCTGCACTTCATGCATTCCTCCGGACACGTGTGTGAGCGCAGCGCTGCAACAGCTGGCTGAACGAATAACTGAAACGAAGCAAAGGTACCCGGACTCTCTTTTAATCATTCTTGGAGATTTTAACAATGCAAATCATTCCCGTGAACTGCCAAAATACAGACAGCACGTTACATGTCCCACCAGAGACAGTAATATATTGGATCACTGTTTCACCACAATAAAGAACGCATATCACTCTGTCCCAAGAGCAGCTTTAGGACTCTCTGACCACTGCCTGGTTCATCTTATACCGACCTACAGGCAGAAGCTGAGATCAGCTAAATCTGTTTTAAGGACTGTTAAGAGATGGACAAATGAAGCAGAGCGGGATTTACAAGCCTGCTTCGACTGCACTGATTGGAGTGTTTTTGAAGCTGCAGCCACCGATCTGGACGAGCTCACAGAGACTGTAACTGTATCAGTTTCTGTGAGGATATGTGTATCCCTACCAGGACATTCTTATCATTTAATAATGATAAACCGTGGTTTACTGGGAAACTCAAACAGCTTCGTCATGTCAAGGAGGATGCTTACAGAAGTGGGAATAAAACTTGTATAACCGGGCCAGAAACAGACTGACAAAGGAGATCAGATTGGCTAAAAAAAATACTCTGAAAAGCTGAAAAAACAGTTTTCAGCCAACGACCCGGTGTCAGTATGGACTGGTCTGAAGAACCTCACAAAGTACAAGACACCACCCCCACAGTTTCTGTGAGGATCATCCCTCACTGATCTGTGCTTCACACATACCCCCTACCCCGCAACCCCCCTCACCTACCATTCTATCTGCGCTAAAGGTCTGTGTACAGGACATGAACCGTGTCTTCAGAAAGCAGAAGACTAGGAAAGCTTCAAGCCCAGATGGTGTTTCACCTGCCTGTTCGAAAGTCTGCGCTGACAAACTGGCCCCCTATCTTCACACAGATCTTCAACACATCACTGGAGTAGTGTGTGGTCCCCTCCTGCTTCAAACACTCCACTATCATTCCAGTCCCCAAAAAACCCCAAAACACTGGACTTAACGACTACTAACTTTACGACTACAGTTTTTTCCCGCAGGCTATACTCAGCCTGAACAATTAAAAATGTTCATAACTATACACATTGTCCATTTTAACCGACACATATTTATACATGGCATCTGAAAATTGTACATTTGTAATCTACATAAACTGTACACTTGTAAATAACATATCTGTACATGTTTTTCTCTATATTTCATCTCTACCTTGTAATTCCTATGTACAGTATGTCTGCACTATTATGTGTGTTTGCACTATGTCTGTACTTTCTTCTGCAGTGGAAACTCCTGTCGCCAAGACGAATTCCTTGTGTGTGTAAACGTACTTGGCAATAAAGCTCTTCTTTCTGACTTCTGAATAGCATTAGGCACTTTACACAAACAAGTTAGAATTAGCACAAAAATCTGGTGTAAAAAATAAATATAAGAATCTATCTTGAATGCAATTCAAGTCGCTTTAAAGAATCTGCCAAATGCATTTTTATTTGATCTATTTATAAATGCCATAATACTCTGTCTGATAGTTTGTATATGAAATGAAGTTTCTCTCCGACTTACCTTTTGATTAATGGACAAGAAATTTACATACGACTCTTCCATTGGCAGAAGAAAGACGAGTGCATTGCCCTGGTTTCCGATACGTGCAGTTCTTCCACACCGATGCACAAAGGAACTAATGGAAGGAGTATTACATTTGATGAGAAAAATTAGCAATATATGCACAAGATATGCAAATAATATGTCACCTTTAAACAGTATTATTCAATATTTTTTATATACAATTACAGTATTTATTAATATTTTCAATTAGATTGTATTTTTAAAAATTAAAAATTCAGATTGTATTTTTATTTTTTTATTTCCAATGTAATTTTAGTAATTTTGTTATGTGCTTGTCATTTTAGTTTTTGCTTTTCTTTAGTATTTCTATATAACTTTAATTTATTTTATTTCAGTTTTAGTCATTTGAATTTAAAAATTTTTATTGTTTCAGTTTTTCATCAAATATTTATATTTTTATTTATTTCAGCTTTATTTCAATTACCAAAAATTATTTTTAATAGTTTTAGTTAATAACAACAATGCTTTGAAATGCATTGATTAAAACAAAGTGTTAATTCTTAGAATAATGTTTTACTATGTAAACAGATTGAAATATTTTTGGTTTTTACTATGTTACTGATTGAAATAAAAGCAGTACATGACATGAAGCGTTTTATAATTATGGTTAAGCACAGGGTTAAAATAAACCAGAGTTATATGCCTATATAATAAATTATTTTATTTCTTCAGTCTATACATGTTGCCAGGGTTAGGAGTAACCTTAAAATAGATATTCAGTGTTTTTTTTGGTATGTATGTGTGGGTATATTATATTAGTAATGTAGGGCTTATCTACATAGCATATGCTATACTCTCAATGCATATTTTATCAGCTTTTGGAATGATCTTTTTTGTACTGTCCTTATCTAAAAAAAAACAATAAATAAATATACAAACAAGTATGTATGCTGAAGTTTAATACTTAATGTTAGGGGTTAGTTTGATTCATAAAGTACGAGTAATATTAATAGAGATGAAGGACTTAGACACTGTAACACCACTAACTGCATGTCAGCTGACTCTGTAAGCACTAATCAAAGCATAAAATAAATGATGTAATAAACTACTCCAAGCCTTTGTGAATGTAGTATAGACTCACAAGTAGAGGTTGACCGATGTATCGGTTTTGCCGATTAATCGGCACCGATAGTTGATTGCTGGAACTATCGGTTATCGGCAAAAATCCATGCCGATAGTTTTCCGGGTTGCATCCATTGCTGGAGCGGCTGAGAAGGGCCTGCTGTCATTACACAGTGCGAGAGCGGCCTCTAGTGGTTGAAATCACTGACAGCACGTGCTATTTGTTTAGACACGTGATACTGCACGCTGAACAGAGCGGGAAACTTCAGACGCGGATTTAAATGCAGCCGACAGAAAATCCTGCCGCGCCACAGAGTGCCATTCACATAGTTTTCCTTTAAATTACATTATATTGGTCCCGAATCGTTGTTAATGTACATTATGAATTGTGTATTTTCAGCAAAACGTTTGTCTTTCTGTGGCTCTAATAAAGTCTGTGTGCTTCATTTATAGAGCTATAATATAGGTTGCGCTTTCTCTTTCCGATTGCTCCGTTTTTTAAACGCCGAACTTCAAACTCATCCATGCCAAGTTATATTATAATATTATTATTATTACTACTAGTATGGTTCAGTACTGTTTTTGTTAATAAAGCACTATTTTAGTTTTTGTTGAGTATCAATTTTAAAACTATCGGTTAATTAATCGGTATCGGCCAGTGTGGTCCAACCTAGCTATCGGTATCGGCAAAATCCACTATCGGTCGACCTCTACTCACAAGTACATGATTTTGAGCTCAAGTGTGTTCATGAATGTCCTGGTTACCTTGCACTGCTTGGTGGGTCGTACTGAAGCACCCAGTTCACTTCCGGGATGTCGATGCCTCTCGCCATGACGTCTGTGCACACGAGAATCCCACTGCACACATACATAATGCATTTATTCTAATGCTTGATCTTTAACTTCCTTTTTGTAAATAGCTAGAAAGGCATCACACTACATTACCTCTTCAGCGCCCGGAAATCTGCAAAGATCTTGTTTCGTTTATGTTTCATCTTCCCGTGGATGCAGTGGATGCTGACATTCTTGATCAAGACTTCCAGGGCTTTACCGAAGTACTCCACACAGGCACAGGTGCTGCGGATACAGAGAACAATATTATTTACACTAATGAGTGTGTAAAAAGATTTACACTACTGACCAAAATTTTGACATAATTATGATTTTTATGTTTTTGTAAGAAGCCTCTTATGCCCACCAAGGCTTTTATTTGATAGAGTAAAAACAGTAATATTGTGAAATACTACAATTTAAAATATATCTTTTTCCATTTGAATATATTGCAAAATGCAATTTATTTTTCAGCATCATTACTCCAGTCTTCAGTGTCACATGATCCTTCAGAAATCATTCTAATACACAACGATTTGCTGCCCAAGAAACATTTCTGATTATTATCAATTATTAAAAAATGATAAACTGCCATTCAAAAGTTTGGGGTAAGTCAGTCTTTAAAGAAAAAAAAAGTATTTTATTCAGCAAGTATGCATTAAATTGGTCAAAAGTGAAAGACAACCATAAAAAGAATATTTATAATGTTACAAAAGAAAAAAAA